TTGTCATCAGGATCAGTCGCATTTAACTTCTTTAATATTTCCAACTCAGCCATGCCAGTCTTGTGCCTTATAAGGAAGAGAATAAGTAAATTAATATGTATCAGGAAATGTAATAAAATTGGGGATGATTTCGGAGCCATTTTTTGAAAAAAGCCATGGACTATACCTTGGGTATTTTTTAGAATTTTAGCATTTTCTTAAAAATAATGACTGTAACTTTAAAAATTTAAGTCGGAATCAGCTCAAACTTTCTACACAGTATAAGTACATCAATATGTATCAGAAAATGCAATAAAAATTTGGGGTGTTTTTGGAGCCATTTTTTAGAAAAAACCATGGACTATAGTCTTGGGTATTTTTTAGAATTTTGGCGTTTTCTTAAAATGGCCTTAACTGAAAAAATTGAAGTTGGAATCAGCTCAAACTTTCTACACAGCATAAGGAGATCAATATGTATCAGAAAATGTAATAAAAATTTGGGGTGATTTTGGAGTCATTTTTTGGAAAAAACCATGGGCTTGGATATTTTTCGGATTTTGGCCATTTTCTTAAAATGGCTGTAACTTGAAAAATTGAAGTTAGAATCATCTCAAACTTTTTACACAACATAAGGACATTAATATGTATCAGAAAATGTAATAAAAATTTGGGTGATTTCGGAGCCATTTTTCCAAAAAAACCATGGGCTATAGCCTTGGGTATCTTTCAGAATTTTGGCGTTTTCTTAAAATGGGCATAACTTGAGAAATTGAAGTCAGAATCAGCTCAAACTTTCTACACAGCATAAAGACATCAATATGTACATGTACTTTAATTATTAATTAGTAGGTGTGTCTAGCCACACCCACTCACATCATCTCGTTGTTCCTGATTATCTTGATGGCTACTTCTTGACTTGATCTTGAGGTATCCCTAGCCCTCACTACATTACTGAACACTCCCTGACCAGTGTACCCATAGACCATGTACCGTCTGTCCAGTTGCTCACCAATACGCACCCCTAGTGGAGAGGAAGAGAGAAAATAATGCTACACGTATAAATTAAGAAATATACATGTATATACACGTACATGTACATGTACACTGTACATGTAAACCTATTACAATAAATGCAAAATAAAAAACACAATTATACATGATACATGTTAAAATAAAAGCTTGAGGCTACTCTTAACACTATAGAGTTGAGACTGCTGTTGATTCCACAGAAGGTACTAAATACACCACCAGTCCTCCATTAATAATACAAATATAATCCATTATACATGTACAGCTATCAGTATCACTATAATCTATAATAGACTATTTATAATATATCACTATAGCTATCACTATAATAGATAAATACATGATTAATATGCTGTACATGTGTATATAGCCATGTGAAAAATTAAATTAATTAATAATAGACTAATAGACTAACTGTAATATCCTTCAGCATCGTCCCAGTTATCAGTTAAGTGATCATTCTCTCCAATACCATCAGCTAACAGTGCCTTACTGGGACTCTGGAGGGATATACATGTACATACACCAGAGAGGAGGGAGGGAGAGAGAGAGAGAAAAAAATGATAAGTACATGTATATTGTATACATGTACTGTAAATGAGTAATTTTATAAAGAACTAAAAATTGACAAGGCTTCAAAAATTTTTTGCATTTGAGCTCATTAAGATATTACTTATACATGTAACTCGCATCTTTTTAAAACCACAAAAATAAGCAAGTCAACCTATTATACCATACTGTTAATGATATTCATTATTTAAGCTCCACCCACACTAATTAATTAACTCACCAGCCATGACTTCTCCTTCCCAGTGATATCCTCTTCACTGAATATATCCAGTACAACTGCTGTCTTCATGGCACTCAGTCCTGTCTTTATCTCTTTGACCTCATCTTCACTCATCAACTGATCATCAGTTCTTAATACTGGAGGAACATCACCTGTGGAGAGCTTCCTCTCAGCCTATTAATAAAATATAATATTTATATAATAATTATTATGTCCTTCCATTATCTTATTTTATTATATGAAATAAGATAATAAAATTATAAAATTGTTTCATTATATGATCATTTCATTACTTATCATTATTGCACTGGACACAGTTTGAATTGACTGAACATATGGCATAGTTGGAGTAGCGTATAGCAGAAAATTTAGGAGGGAATTAAATTTGGCATTTTGATACGATAAAATCTGCCATTTTGAGCCACTATACGCATGCTCAATGGCACGTGGCCACGAATTCACCAATCACCAAAATTTAGCAATTCACCAAATTCAACTCCTTCCAAAATTTCCGGCTATACAGTAATACTACATCTTATTAGTACATTAGCTGATCAGTCGCTATTATAAAATCTAACTTGCTTTTATATTTTATTAAAAATATTAGAATACAAAAAATAATCATTTTAATAAACAACAAGTCGGTTATTACCAAAATCACAAACATACAAGAATCCATCTTTATCAAATGCTAATCCATGAGGACGATCAAACTGATCAATATTACTGCCTTCACGTCCAAACTTCCTAACAAACACACCATCACTAGTGAAGACTGATATATGATGATTCCATGCTTCACTAACATACACTAGACCAGTAGCTGCAGTGTCTATTGTTATACCTGCTGGATAATTAAGCTGTCCAGGACCAGATCCTTTAGTACCAAACTGACCCACAAACTTTCCATCTGGAGAGAACTTCTGAATGCGATGATTATAACTATCAGCAACATACACTAATCCTTGACTGTCAATAGCAATGTCATGTGGATAGTGAAACTGTCCATTAGCTGATCCTTCACTACCAAATGAATGAGAGAAGGTTAGATCAGGATTCAAGACTTGTATATGATGATTACCCTCATCAGCAATATAAACCTGTCCTGTTATAGGAGAAATGGCTATACCTTCAGGACCATTGAATTGTAGTGGTCCACTGCCCTTCTCACCAACTGATGCCATAAGGTATCCACCCATGCTTATCTTATGGATCCTGTGATTATCAGATACAAGAATGAATTTATCTGGAGTAATGGCTACACCACGAGGACCAAAAA